GCACCTATATCTGTTGTCTTCCTGGAGCACCCACACATGTAGAACATAATATAAATATTTTTAAAACTTTCAATTATATAAAATGATGGGTTTTATTTTGGCATTTTCTAACGTACAATAATGTTTTATTCATTATATCATGCTTTTGTTGTTTACCAATTTATACCATGTCTAACAATATGTTGACCTATGTAAGTGCCCAGTGTTCATTGGAAGCAGGAGTCAGTGATGGTAGCTAATGAACAGTACAGCATGTTGAACCTGTCTGAAAATTTGATGCATATAGGTAGTGCTTTTCAAACTGACGAACCACCTCGTCTTTTACTCCACGGTAAAATACAGTAAAAATTCTTTTCTCATAAAAAATTAGATGTGACCAGGTAATTCAATCCCAGCACTAGGGAGGCAGAGGCAGGCAGATTTCTGTGAGTTCCAGGACAGCCAGGGCTACACAGAGAAACCCTCTGGTGCTAGGGGTAGGGGAGGGCATGCATAGATAGATAGATAGATAGATAGATAGATAGATAGATAGATAGATAGATAGATAGATAGATAGATGGATAGATGGATAGATGGATGCATGCATAGATACATAGGTAGTGAGGTGTAAGCTTATTTTTTATTTGTTATTATCAATTTCAATAGATTGATAATGGCTTAATCCAATTTCTGTGAAAAGGAAATTCTAAAAAGCTTGAAAGTTGTCTCTGATTTCTGGGCCTTGGTTCACGTTCTAGATAATTCTAACAGATACTGAGTTGGTATACAAAAAGGGAAAGGTTAGTTTATAGAGGGAGTAGACTTGAAGAAATAAAAGATTTGAAGCTGGTCTTGGTGGTAAAGGTCTGTAGTCTCAGGCACTAGGGAATCTAAGTCAGGAGAAATGTACAAGTTCATGGCAGCCATTTTCTACAGCAGTGGTTCTCAACCTTCCTAATGCTGCGACCCTTTAGTGCAATTCCTCATGTTGTGACCTCCAACCAGAAAATTATTTTTGTTGCTACTTCATAACGGTAATTTTTGGTACTGTTATGAATCATAATGTAAATACCTGTTTTCTAATGCTCTTAGGGGACAGCTGTGAAAGGGTCTTTTGACACCACCCCCACCCCCAAAGAGGTAGGTTGTGACCCACAGGTTGAGAACTACTCCTCTACATAGTAAGTTCAAGGCTATCCTGGGCAACTTACCGAGACTGTAAAAAGTAAAAAGAAGGCATATGGTCCAGTGGCAGAGTACTTGCCTAGCATATACAATGTTGTAGGTTCAGTCGTCCCAGTATCACTCTCTCCCCCCAAAAAGAGGATGAGAATTTGTAGAGAAAAAGATTTGTCTACAATCCTGAGTTTCCACTGGTTTTAGTTAAATTGTAATTTGTGTATATCATCCATGTTTTTGTTTCACACTGAACCAAAGATAAAGTTAGAAATGGCATTGCACATATGGGGGAAAGGACAAACCCGTGCAGTTGGAGCTATGTAATATGATGAATGAACCTCCGCCTCTGCACAGAGCTGTCAGCTTATTATTCATACAGATCTTCATGCTACTGGGGTTCTGTTAATCTTCTCTCAAATAGAAACATAAAGGTTAGCAGCATTTTAACAAAACACTACTAAAACTGATAAAGTTGTTAGGGTCCTGTTGTAAGAAGTGATGCCATTGTTTCACTACTTAATGCTGCCTTCTCATTTTAACTATGGAAGCCTGGTTTCTTTTGAGACAGTAAAGTTGAAATGCTAAAAACCATTGTATTTTTACAGTGACTTGCCATATTTCTTCCTCCCCTCCACTTTCTCCTGTTCTTTCCTTTCTTTGTTCCCCTGTGTAGCTTCAGCTTTCCTTGAACTCGGGATTTTGCCTCGGCCTCCCTAGTGCTGGAATTCAGGTGTATACCACCAGCCTCCACCACTCACAGTTTTACATTAACAGCGTAAAGGAAAACCAGTAAAACAGTGTATTTCAGCATGTGTGTACTAATGTGGAGGCTAGAGGATGGTTTCTGCGTCACTCTCTACTTCATTTTTTAAATTTATTTAAGTTACTGAGACAAGGACTTGCTATGTAGACCAGGCTGACCTCTGTCTCTGAAGCAATGGGATTAAATGTTGCACTTTCATGCCTGGCTGTAATTATCATTATTATTGATGATGTTATTTTGAGACAGTGTCTCCCACTAAACCTATAGCTTGTCAATTAGGCCAGACTATCCAACCAGGCAAGCCTGCAGGGTAGAATTTTCCTGTCTGTTTTCAGTGTTGGTGTGCCAGGCTTTTTCTGTTGGTGCTGAATATGCAAACTCTGTCCCTGTGCTTATATTGTACCACTGAGTCTCCTCATTTGCTTCCAAAATAACTTGTTAATAGGATAGTTTGATCCTGTGGCAGCGGTATAATCATAAGAAATGCCTTCAAATTTTCTATGTAGCCAAAGCTCTTCCTGAACTCATGATTCTCCTGCCTTTAGCTTCCAAATATCAGGATTATGAGTATGTTCCACTACACCTGAGTGTAGCTGTGCTCAAATTTGAGAGTCCTCTATCTGTAATTTCAGTTTTAGGGGATCTGATGCCCTTTTGTGTCTCCTCCAGGAACCAGGCACACATGTGGTACACAGACATACATGGCAGACATTACACATTCATACACATAAAAATAGTAATTTCTTGGAACCATTAGCAAGAAATTTCTTCATCTCACATAACTATGAACCAGGCCTACTATACCAGGTGTAGCTACAAGAATGAGCAGGAAGCTGGAAGTGGTGGCACATGCCTTTAATTCCAGCATTTGAGAGCAGAGGCAGGTGGGTCACTGTGAGTTCAAACCTACCTTAGTCTACAAAGGGAGGTCCAGGACTGCCAGGGCTACACACAGAGAAACCCTGTATCCAAAAAAAAAAAGGAGTAAGACTGCAGATACAACTCAGTGGTAGAATGCTTGCCTCAGTTCCATTCCCAATACTGCTATTAAAAAGGAAATAAAGAGGGGCTGGGAGAGATGGCTCAGAGGTTCAGAGCACTGGCTGCTCTTCCAGAGGTCCTGAGTTCAATTTCCAGCAACCACATATTGGCTCATAAACATCTGTAATGAGATCTGGTGCCCTCTTCTGGCATGTAGGCAGAACACTGTATACATAATAAATCCTTAAAAAGGGGGGCGGGGAATGAATAAGATTTGCTGGGCATGGTAGTGCAGTCAAAAGCAGAGGCAGATCGAGATCTGAGTTTGAGGTCAGCCTGATCTACAGAGCAAGTTCCAATGTAAATATTTTTAAGGGGGGGGGAGATAATTAAAATCATTACTACCTTTGAAGAGTTAGCTATCAGTCCTTGGGAAGACTTGGATAGAGACAAAAGATTTTGTTTGGCTGTGTAATACAGATGGAAATTTAGTGCTGTTTGCATCCTAGAATGTTCCTGAGTAGTTAAAATGAGAACTATAGACAACCGTAGACCAGGAACAAGTGTTGACTCTATGTCGTTCTGGTTTTTGTTGTTGTTTGGGTTTGTTTTTGTTGTTGTTTTTGTGTGTAACCCAAGTTGACCATGAATTTGAGGCAGTCCTGCTGCTGGAATTACAAGCATGCACACCACACCTGATAACTATTGCTAGAGTCAGCAAATGTGATATGAGAAATACCTGTTTATGGGTGTTGCAAAAGATTTATAAATTAAAGCATAACGGTCAAATGTCTTTCACAGATCCAGTATTACTTGCTAGTTTTTGAGAATGTAAGTTGTTAGGTTTAGATGTTAAATTTAAGATTTTGAAATAGTGTCTGCTGGGTTCATTGGCGCATGCTTTTAATCCCGAGCACTCAGGGAGGCAGAGGCAAGTGGATCTCTGTTAGGACAGAGATCTACAGAGAAACCCTGTCTCGAGAAACAAACAAACAAACAAAATCCTAGAAATAGTGGGGAAAGTTGGAAATGTTTCTTTGGAAGAAACACTTGTGATGCAAGAATGCCTTTAAGTTCTTAACAATTTGCAGGGTAGGAATACAGCTCTTAAAGTAGGAGTGTTTGGGACTGGAAGAATTCGTAGAATTTGAAATGGTTGTAGTTGATAGAGAATTTAATGCAAAGTTTCAGAGAAACAGCGAGCACTAGTTACATAATTTAAAAAAAACTTAGGATGATAGTAGTTTCCATTACAGTCGTTTTTGGCACTTTGGTAAGAGAGATAACTTAACTTATAAGCACTGTGTTTAAGACAACCCCCTTCGAAGCTAGTATTCTGAGGAATTCTTAGTTTGGATTTGTTACTGTGCAGACATTTAAAAATTCTTATTAGGCTGATGAGATGACTTAGTACATAAAATACTTCCCCCCACAAGCCTGGCAACAAGAATTCAACCCCCCAGAACCCACATAAAGGCGAAGGGATAGAGCTGACTTCACAGACCTCTGCACATTGGCTGTGACATAGGAATACCCATTTCACTGAGACACACACACACACACACACACACACACACACACACAATAAAATTTAAAAAGATACAACTTTATTTTGTTTAACTGTACTCAAATATTATTGAAATTTGATCTAGGGCCAGGTGAGGTGGTATATGCCTTTAATTAATATCAGCACAGCACTCGGGAAGCAGAGGCAGGCGGATCTCTGAGTTCGAGGGCAACCTGGTCCACAGAGTATTTTCTGGGACATCTAGGGTTATTCAGAGAAACCCTGCCTTGAAAAACAAAAACAATCAAAAAACTTGAAAGCTTTACTTTGTAAATTCTGAGAATTTTTTATTAGACAAGGTTAATATATTAATGACATTAATTAAGATTAATAGGACATTTCTTAGTTCTTTAAAATCAGTATGTCTTAATCAGAATGGTGAATTTAGTTTTATCTAGTACAGTGTACAACCTAGGGAATTCAGGTAAAATCAGTGGGAATAGTGAATTAAGCATATTTCCCTTTTCTGTGCTTCAGAAAGAATTCCTTCTCACATGCAGTACAAGTAACCTGTAGCTTGATCTCACGCAGCTCAAAGAAAATGAACGGCACCCTGGACCACCCAGACCAACCAGATCTCGATGCCATCAAGATGTTTGTGGGCCAGGTTCCCAGGACCTGGTCTGAGAAAGACTTGAGGGAGCTTTTTGAACAGTACGGTGCTGTCTATGAAATCAACATCCTAAGGGATAGGAGCCAAAACCCTCCTCAGAGCAAAGGTGAGGTAGTTTTATTCTATTCTTTTAAATTGTATTTTAATTAATTTTTTTTATTATGCTTCGTACATGTGGAGGTCAGAGGACAAGTTGAAATACTAGGTTCTAAACTGAATTCAAGTTAGACTTGGCTGGGGCCCCTTTACCACTAGCAATCAATCACTTTAACCTGTTGAACAAGCTTACTGGCCAGGGGAGTTTTATGTTTTTAACAGAGTACAAGTTAAGGAGGGGGTGGGGGGCGGAGGAAGTGCTGTTGGTTTTGTTTGAGGTAGAGTTTCTATATAGCTCTGGCTGTCCTGGAACTTGCTGTATAAACCAGACTGGCCTCCAACACAAGATATCCTCCTGCCTCTGCTGCCTTGAGTGTTTGGATTAAAGGCATACACTATCACACATGTCTGGGTTTGTGTTTTTAATTCCTGTATTATATATACTATACATCCCATCTCTGGTTACCGGGATATTTCAGTAATTATATGGGAAGGTAGCCTTTTATATTAGCTGTGTTTTCTAATCCAAATACATTTAATGGCTTAAAAATAATTTTGTCCTTTTTTGAGACAGAACCCTGGCTGTTTTGGACTCACAACTCACAGAGATCCACCTGCTTCTGCCTCCCCAAGTGCTGGGATTAAAGGCGTGTGCCCTTATGCCTGGCCCTAGAATTAAAATACTATGGTGACCATGTGAGGATGTTTTGTAAGATGTATCTGGGAAGTCCTGTGTAGGTGCTCACAGAGCTATGTGTAATCTTATTTTTGAATGGAACACTGAAAATCTAAATAATATAGCCACATGCCGTTTTCTGACTGGAGTAGGATGAGGTTACAGAAGCCCTTAAAGGATGGCTTATCAGCTGACAAGGGCTGAATTTTAGGCCCCTTGTGGCAGTAGCCTACAAAATAGGTAGGGAAAGAAAGGTTGGATTTTTTCAGAGACTGCAGCAGCATGTGCAATTCAGGAGACTGATAGTGAGTAGGCAGCGTTAGCTTTGCTTGTATACACACATGCGCCATTTTCCAAATCACCAATTTTAGAGTGATTCTTTGGAAAAGCTATTCTACAGTACAGATGTGAGGAGCATGTTTGTCATGTTTGCACAAGAAGTTAATAAGTTAAGGAACTAGAAATAGAAGAATTTTCCCCACATGGCATAGTTAACCATTTTGCTTTTTTTCAAGATAGGGTTTCTCTGTGTAGCCTTGGCTGTCCTAGACAGGCTGGCCTCGAACTCACAAATATCCGCCTGACTCTGCCTCCCCAAGTGCTGGTATCACAGGTTTGCGCCATACAACACTAATTTAAAATCCTACGTGCTGTATAATTTTTAGAAGAAAGTATTGTATTTCATGAGAATATACAAGTACCAGAACACTGAAGCCCAAGATTTCTGAGACTCTTTTTTTTCCCCCCTCTAATCCAGATACAAAACAAAAAACCTTCAAGAGTCTAGAAAAATTGCCAGCAGTGAGGCGTAACATTATTTGATGAGAATATAGAACTCAGAAAAGATTCTAAGTCCTTGTTCTTAGGTAATTTTATAATTTTGTAAGTGATAGGTTTGAGGCATATGGGCAGAAACTGGCTGTGAGAGTCTGGAGAGATAGTACAGCAATTAGAAGCACTGGCTGCTCTTCCAGTGAATCTAGGTTCATTTTTCACCATCCACACGGTGGCTCCCAGCACTGTAAATACAGTCTGAGGGAATCCAATGCCTTCTGTAGCATTCTCAGCACCAGGCACATATATGCACAAACACCCATATGCATAAAATAAAAATTTAAAAACTGGCTATGATAGAGGAAGTAATTGTTCCAAGCAAGTAGAAAGAAAAGGAATTCCAGAAAACCAGGCTGTCAGAGTATTCTACAGAGTACTGTAGAATAGCTGTAGAATAACTGTGTCTAGCTTGCTTGTGACTAGGTCTTGTTTCTTAGTATATTACCTAGTTGGTGGTAGAGCAGACTAAATGAAATGGCACATAGCTTTTGTAAAGGGAGCATGGTAGCCAGGCATGATTTTGTGTACTGTAATCGAAGCTCTTAAAAGGTGGAGGCTGGACTTCCAGGATATCCTTGGCTAACATACCAAACTCAAAACTAGCCTGTAGTACATGAGATCTTGTCTCAAGGGTTTTTTTTTTTTTTTTTTTTTAAAGGAAGCCCTTTTCCAAGTTAACAAAGCATCAAAAGAAGATTTCTAATGACAAGGAAGCTAGAGATGCAGCCTATTCCTAGAACGGACTAGAACAACAAAGAAAGATGCTTAAACCTTCATAACGGCACACACCTGTAATCCCAGCACTGGGGAAGGCAGAGGCAGGCCTGGTCCTCAAAGCGAGGCCAGGACAACCAAGGCTACATAGAAATCCTGTCTTGATAATCCCCCAAAAATACCCCTCCCCCCAAACAAAAGTAACACCCATCAGCCTTTTCTCCTCTCATTTTTAATAAACTGATTCCTTGAAGTATGGTAGTGTAGCATTAGAAGTACTCTAAAAATTGTCTGTTTTCAAGGCAGTGAATTTGATTTTGTAAAATCTTATTTATTCAGGGTGCTGTTTTGTTACATTTTACACCCGTAAAGCTGCATTAGAAGCTCAGAATGCTCTTCACAACATGAAGGTCCTCCCTGGGGTAAGAAGCTTTTTATAAGTAAAAATGGCATTGTTTTAATTTTTGTGCAGGGGCTATGCTTATGCATGTCAGTCATATACTGGAAAGCATTTTGGAGGAAATTCATTGCTGTGGGAATAACTGTGAAAAGAAGACTATAAAGGGAACATTTCAAAGAAGATAGACCAAAAGTAGTTCTCACTGCCAAGAGTCTTGTGTATTTTAACTTCATGACTCAGATTTTGTCTAGTTCTGTATTTGTGAGTTAAGATCATTGGGCAGAAGTGAATTCTAAAGGCTGTTGTTTTAGTATACCTTTAGAGTCTATATTTTTGAAAGCCATTAATGGATTTGGAGAATAATCCAAGTGGATTTCCTTTTTAGATGCATCACCCTATACAGATGAAACCTGCTGACAGTGAAAAGAACAACGGTAAGCCAGCACATCACGTCTGCTCTGCAAGAGGCTTCTCTTTTTTCTTTCTTTTTTTTTATGTTTGTTATACTTAGGGGTTGTGTGTGTGTGTGTGTGTGTGTGTGTGTATGCTATAAAAATCTTTATCTCAATGTTAATAAATGAGTGAAAAAAAGAGAGTTAATAGAGAAATAATCCATATTAGGATGAATTTCCCAGGTATGGAAGTATACAGTGTAGTTTCAAGCATTTAGAGTTTGGGGCCAGCTTGGATCACACATGAGACCATATTTCAAAAATAGTCAGATACACAAACAGAAAACCTTGGATATCCTTGATAAGGATAATTTCTTATGGGCAAGGTTAAGAAGGAAAGTGGGCCATCTGGGAAAGAGACCTTTTTCATGCTTTAGCAAAGAGCTTCCCAAGCTCTGGAGGGTCAAGTCTGTGATGGGTGCAGTTGCCAAGGTCCTGCAGTCCAGCAACAAGCTGTGACCCAGGTACTTTTAGAGCTGGGATGAATTCACACTTACGTCCTCTATAGAAGCTAAACAAAATGGCAGCCAAAGAAATTGAAGTTGATGGTCAGAAACCTATAAATACTCTGTTTCACTCCCAGAACTGAACTCTTTGAGAAAATGCAAGTCTAACAGGTCATGAGCTGAACAAAAATTTCAGCAGGAAGCTCAGAGGAGAGTTTGTCCCAAACCATCCTGGAAAAAGATGTGTCTGATTGTTTCTGGGGCTTTACTACTGACATCCTTGAGGACTTGGTCTTCCTGAGTGAAATTGTGGGAATTGTGCAGATTCCTCAGTAGAACCCACTGGAAGCTGGGTAGCAGCTGGACCATAAAGGTTCAACCAGACAAAACAGAAAAATGCTGTAAAAAGCTCAGATGCCCGAATGTTAATTTTAAATCCTCCGAGTTTCAGTTAGATAGATGAGTGACTCAGGAGGCAGACACAGGAGGAATTCTGTGAGTTTGAGACCAGTCTAATCTATGTAGCAAGTTCCGGGACAGCCAGGTCTATGTAGAGATACCCTGTCTCAACAAAGAAAGCTGGGGGAGGGAAGGGAAGCAGGAGTCAGACACACAGACAAATAAATGACCAAATGTTATTCACAGTTTAAGGAAAATATTTTTAAATAAGTAAAATTTTAAATGTTGGAAAAGGAAAGTAGAACGTTCCCACTTCGGTGTCTTCTGTTCACTAGTCACAGCAAACATAAACCTTTTTGTTTTCATATTTGCTGGAAAGAGCAAGCATACTCAGTACAAGAGAAGATGCTAAGAACTTTGCATTTAATAACCTGCCTATCGATCAATCAAACACAGATGGATGAAATAACTTGAACAAGAGCACAAATTCTCCATATCTTATGCAAATATATATAAATTTAAGTTACTATTATGTCATTATTGTACAACTGGTTATACAATTTTATACCACTGATAAAAATTTATGGGAGGAAGAAATGTATCTTAGAGTCTGTGAGGTAGATGCTATGAGACATGGCTAGCATTCAAACCCAAGAGATTTGGTTCTTGACTATGTATGCTATGCTGCCTTTTAGTGATAATATCCAAGCCTTTTGTTTTTACTCTTTTAGCTGTGGAAGACAGGAAGCTGTTTATTGGTATGATTTCCAAGAAGTGTACTGAAAATGACATCCGAGTCATGTTCTCTTCATTTGGACAGATTGAAGAGTGCCGGATATTGCGGGGACCTGATGGCTTGAGCCGAGGTGGTACATTTTTATAGCTTTTAAAAAAGATACTTTTCTTAAATTGCAGTCTCTTGTTTAACTGCACTAGTGAAAGACAGATCGCTAGCCACACAGATGAAGAGGTTGGAGCTGCTAACCTCCTGCTGTGCACCTTAATCTTGTCATTCCTCTCACCAGCTGTTCCCTTTTGAATTCTAGTTCTGTTTAAGGACTTCTGTCCCCTCAGTTTCTCTTGATGTTTATCGAGTATCTTGTTGTCCAGAGTGGACCCATTTTCTGCTCACATCTGTTTACCAGCATGAACTGGGATTCTTTGCTTTTCCCTCAGAAAACCTCCTCTTTGTGGTTCCTTGGTAGTAGTGTTCTATCATGACATATTTATCTACTGAATGAGCTTGTGAACCACTAAAAAGTAGGATCATATTTGTATTGCTAACATGGTAGTTAACACAATAAGTTAGATGTTCAGTCAGTATCTAAACAAAAGAATATTGATTCTTTCCTTATCAGGTTGTGCATTTGTGACTTTTACAACAAGAACCATGGCACAGACGGCCATCAAAGCAATGCACCAAGCACAAACCATGGAGGTAAGGAACAGACAGGTAGAAGAGAAGAAAAATCCCTTGCCTGGACAATCTCTTGCCTGACAATGCTGGGATAGCTGCCAATCAAAGCAACCCCAAGATTACCCTGAAATTTAAAATAGTCGATCTGTCCTAGGCTGTAAAATACCTTTACATTTAAAATTATGGAGCTAAGTGGTTTAGAGCACCAGATGCTCTTGCAAAGGACTTGTGTTTGATTCCCAGCATCTACATGGTAGCCACAGTTATCTGTAACTACAGTTTTAAGGATCTAACACCCTCTTCTGGCCTCTCTGGGCACTGTAGATGTATGTGGTGCATATAAGCATACAAGTGCGGAAAACACTCATAGAATAAAGTAAATAAATCTCTAAAAATCAACATATTGTCCTGTATGATGATACGTGCTTATAGCCCCAGCGATTCATGCTAAGACAGGATCACTTGAGCAACATAGTAAGCTCTCCCCCTTTTAATAATAAACAGAAATTGATTATTAGAGAGAAATAGCCTTTTGCCACTGTTAACTATCAGAAGAGTTATTTACGGATGGTGAAAAATAGAATCCAGCCTTCATATCAAAAAAAAAAAAAAAAAAAAGGAGTATTTCCTCCTCCAGCCCAGGAAGAAATTTTTGTTGTTGTTGTTTTAAATTTTCCATCCATCTGTCTGTCCACAGCATGCATGTAGAGGTCAGAGAACAATTTGTAGGGGCTTGTTTGCTCCTTCCATCCACTGTGCGGATTTCAGAGATTAAATTCAGGTCATCAAGCTTGACAACAAGCACCTTTACTCACTGAGCCATCTCTCTGGCCCCAAAAGAAGGAAATTGAGCCTTTGATTTTGATATTCTCATAGGGTTGCTCATCCCCCATGGTGGTAAAGTTTGCTGACACCCAAAAGGACAAAGAACAGAAGAGAATGGCCCAGCAGCTCCAGCAACAGATGCAGCAGATCAGCGCAGCCTCCGTGTGGGGAAACCTGGCTGGTCTGAACACTCTTGGCCCCCAGTACTTAGCAGTGAGTTCTGTGGTTTGCTTTCTGCAGACTGTGCAAGCTCCCAGCTGTTTCTTCTTCTGCTGTCTCTAGCTAACAAACACTGGCATTTGCAACTTTGGGCATGTAGAAATTTTATATAAAATATTAGCCAATGTTATTAAGTCATGCTGGTCTGTCTCCTTTATGGTTCTATATTTAGGCTTTGCTACAATTAAAGTGAAATTTTGATTTTTTTTAACTTTTTTATTTTTTATTAATTATACTTTATTCATTTTGAAATTTTGATTTTTAATATAAAGAATTGTAAGTATCCCATTTTTCTGCTTCCAGGAGAAATTCTTAAGAAAATCCTCACTATTTAGCATCATTTTCCATGTCTCTTTCCAGTAGACAAGATCATTGTCACAATCTTTATGAAGTTTTCCCTAAAAGCATGACAAATGTGTGTTTCCACACACTAAAAGATCTTGAGATTAAAATATATACTATTAAATGAAAATTACAGGTGCATATTTACATTTCCCAAATATAAATAAGTTTCCTTTAATTGATTTCTCTGTTAATAACTTTGAGTCATACAGTGTAAAAAGAAGGTCTGGCTCTAATCTATTACTTAGGTTATAATTTATCATAATCTCACAGGAGATTATTAGATTTGTGAGTCACAAAGCAAAGGGCATCTTTGACCATAGTAGCACATAACTATAGCTCCAGTGCTTGGGAGACCAAGGCAGAAAGACCATGAGTTCTAGGCAGCCTGTGATGCACAATGAGTTCCTGGCCACACTGAAACTTTGACTCAGAGAAAGAGGTTTTCTTTGAAGCTATATATGGCAAAACCATTGAGTCTGTATGGATAGTTTGGAAATGCTCGTGTAGGAATAACTAATGCTGTCATTCATTCCTTATTTTTTCAAATACTAATTCTGCATGGAATCAGGAAAGATAATTTCTGTCAGTACATAGTTTGATGCCTGCAGGTTTCTATTTATAAGATATTAGAACTACCAGTTTATTTTAACTAGTGTGTCTTTAAAATTAGATAAGGAAAAGGTAAAAGATTGTTATATCTATTTCAATAGATTAAATTATTTTTTATTGCTAAGAACATTGAAGGGATTGTAGTTTTCACCAGAATAATGCTTCGAAAATGATCTCTAGCCAGATGTGGTGGTAGATGCCTTTAATCCAAGCACTCAGGGGGACAGAAGCAGGCAGATCTCTGTGAGTTTGAGGACAAGCCTGGTCTACAAAGTGAGTTTCAGGGCAGACAGTGTGTGTCTCAGACACACACACACACACACACACACACACACACACACAGCTCAGAAATACTATAGTATGATGCAGTGTGACAAACACGCACCTGAAATACTATAGTACTATCCAGTGTAATCATTTGGAATAGTTAAGTGGAAGGGTGCCTGTAGTGGTGCACACCTTTAATCCTAGCACTGGGAAGGCAAAGGCAGGTGGATCTCTTGAGTTCAAAGCCAGCCTGGTCTACATGTTGAATTTGAGGCCAGGTCGGACTACATAGTTAGATCCTGTCTCAAAAAATAATACCATAATAAAACTGGTTGATGGCTGTAACCTAAAGAATGTGATGTGTTGGCCTAACTAAGAACTCACGGGAGGGAGAGAAAGAAAGAAGCTAGAGATGCATGTAACTTATCAGTTGTGCTGGTGCTTGGATCTAGTGCTGTTTTGAGCTCAGCTCATTAACCAGTGAACAGTGTTCTGGGCCAGGACTCTAGCTGTGTTGCCCTTGTTCTGTGTGGTCATAGCCTTGCATTTCTATTGGCTTGGGATCTTGTCTTTTGACTTTCTTCTCTCTGGGGCCTCTGCTCTCTTGCTTTGCTATGCTGTAGAGTTATCCCAGATGCAGAACCAGCCCTCACTCTCACTCTTGTTTTGTTTTTTGGTGTAATGTCTAGCTTTATTTGCAGCTCCTTCAGCAGACTGCCTCCTCTGGGAACCTCAACACCCTGAGCAGCCTCCACCCAATGGGAGGTAAGTGCATCACTGCTGCAGAGGAGCAGCAGCACACAGGCCAGGAGACAGCTTCCTCAGGCTGAGAGTTTTGCACCATTTGAGCCAAAACTTTTTCCCTCGTTACATAAGGTGACTATTTCAGGACTCAATTTTCTTTTCTCTATTATGCGGCCCTATTGTTGGTTGATGCCATGTTGCTCTGATGTTGTCTGGAATTCTTCATTCTAAGTCACTATTGGGGAAGGAAAATGACAAAGAACCCTTAGGGACAACCAGGATTGGGCCATTCAGATGTTTAAAAAAAAAAAAATCCTGTAGTAAAGTAATTTTTAGTGACTTTGTGTAAATACTTCCCCAAAGCTGCTAAAACCAAGGAAATTTTTGTGTTTCTGAATTCATGCTGTTGTTGCTGTTAGGGTTCATAGAAAATGTAAATAACAAATTCATGATTTATATCAAAATGAAACTCTAAAGACGGATAAAAGCCAGGGGCTATCAGAAAAGTGTGAAGAGGCAGAATTGAGTATTTCTACAGCAGCCTGTGCCTGTACCAGGTAGCTGAGCATATGCATTGAGAACGAGGGACATGTTTGTTAGCTGCATTTTAAAGTTTTGGTTTCCTGGTTTGGGAAAGGTATTCTATTATTTTTACTTTGTCCACTTTCTGTCCTGATAGTGTGTCTGTCCTTTAGTAAAATTCTTTACAAAATGCACCTTAATCTTGTTGCCCAGGTTTTACTTAAAAATCTTTTTCTCACATTTTTTTTCTGTCTTCTTCTGATAGTTAATTTACTATTGCAGTGTTTTCTTTATCCCTTCTCACATGACTGTTCTTTTCCCATGGAACCTTCTAGATTTGTTTGTTCCCTTCTTTCCCTTCAGTGCACCTAAATGTATCTTAAGGGCCTTGCTTTCCTGTAGCTTGGGCGTTGTCCCTTGAGCTCCTGGTCCTATGATAGGTCACAGGTATGCCCCTCATTCAGTTTTGCCCACCTCTGTATTCGTGCATTTGTAATGCTGTTGCTATTGAATTAGCAAGCTCTGCTCTAAGGAAGTGGCTTTAAGTTTCTTCTCCTTTCCTCTCTGTGGGGATGGATCCCAAGGTATCATTTATGGTGAGCATGTACTAAACCACTGAATTAGAACCTGAGCATTTTAAAGATTCTTACTAAATGATAGCTGAATCTTTCAGAGCCTGTAGTATAGCATGGAAAATACAGAAAATAACTGTATTCTTATGTACAATCGTTAATTTCTCTTTGTCTGGGACCAGTTTTCAGGCATTGCTGGAGTAAGTATTGGCCACCTAATCTGCTGTCTTATGCCTTTTTTTTTGGGATATTCCAGGGTTAAATGCAATGCAGCTACAGAATTTGGCTGCACTGGCTGCTGCAGCTAGTGCAGCTCAGAACACACCAAGTGGCACCAATGCTCTCACTACATCCAGCAGTCCTCTCAGCGTACTCACCAGTTCAGGTGAGGGGATAATAGGGAGCTGTGTGTCTTCAGCAGATCTTCTTGAAGGTAGCAGGCTGGGGGTGGGGGCAGGCACAGCATGCCATCTTGGAAAGGAATTAATGCATCTCCAGGAGGGTTGTATTATGATTAACAACAAAGAGAATGATTTTCTCCATTCCTTTCTTCCTCTCCTTTTTGAGAAAGGTTCTGTATGTGAGTCCTGGCTGTCCTGGACTTGCTGCCAGCCTTGAACTGACAAAAGATCCTTCTCCCTCTGCCTTTCAAATGCTGGAATTAAAGATTTTGTCGATTCATACCCTTTTTAGATTTTTCATTAAATAAAATTTTAAGCTATTTATTGAGGCAGGAGAGATGGTTCAATGGTTAACAGCATGTACTAGTCTTTTAGCAACCTTGGACTTGGTTCCCAGTACCTATGGTAGGCAATTCACAGCCAACTGCCTGTAATGCCAGAGAATTTGACTTCCTTTTCTAGCCTCTGCAGATGCCTATGCCTACATGTATATACCTTTACACAGATACACATATATACAGTCAAAAAAAAAAATTTTTTTTAAAAGAACCATCTTGTTTTTATTTTGTTATTTCTTTATTACTTATACAGTATTCTGCCTGCATGTAGGCCAGGAGATCAGAAGAGGGCACCAGATCTCACTATAGTTGGTTATGAGCCACCATATGGTCGCTGGGAATTGAACTCAGGACCTCTGAAAGAATAGCCAGTGTTCTTAACCTTTGAGCCATCTCTCCAGGGCCCAGCTTAAATTTTTTTTTTTTTTAAATTCAATGATTGTGAGTGAGTGAGTGTGCGTGATGCACTCACGTCCATGTTGTCTGTGCCCTTGTGTTCATTCATGTGCACATGTGCATGTGGCAGAAGACAACTTGCAACAGCTGATTGTTTCAAGCTGTCAGACCTAGGAATGGAGGAGCTCAGGGCTTCAGGGTTGGTAACCAAGTACCTGTACCCAATGAAACACCCTCTGATGTAATTTTCATACTTAGCTTGAAATCTCGTCATTTTTAATTTGCTATACCCACACCATTCTGACTTAGAAGGATAGTTGTCAGAATCGGCAATTCAGGAATAGCAAAACCCCTTTTGCAAATAGAAGAGTTGATAGGATCATTCTTATGCTTTGGTTCCTGTTCACAAGAGAAGGCAAGTAATGATGATTTAACTCCTTGATTTCTAATAGCAGGGTCTTCACCGAGCTCCAGCAGCAGTAATTCTGTCAACCCCATAGCCTCACTTGGAGCCCTGCAGACATTAGCCGGAGCAACAGCTGGCCTCAACGTTGGCTCTTTGGCAGGTAATGGGTAGCCCCTGGTTGTCATCAGGCTACTTTTATGAAATACCCGGTAGAGAAGTAGCCATAGAATAACACCTCCCCCCCAAAAAAAAAAAAAAAAAAAAAAAAAGAATAATGGCCCAAGTTAGAATAATGATGGGATTTTGTCCGATCCGAGGTAAATCCAGACTCTTCTGCTTGGACCATTACTCTAATAGTCTCATCTATGAAGTAGAAGTAATAAAATGCTTTGAAGGGTTCTTAAGATGTTAAATGAGATAGGGCAGTGGTGGTGAACACCTTTAATACTAGGACCCAGGACGCAGAGGCAGGTGGATCTCTGTGAGTTCAGAGTTGACCTGGGGCCTGGGTTTGATTTCTAGCACCCACACTATGGTTCACAACTGTCTGTAACTTCAATCCTAGAGGATCTGACCCTCTTCTGACCTCCATGGGCAGTGCGTACATATGGTGTACAGACAAACACCCACACAAAATTTCAAGGTGCAAAAAAAAAAAAGCTTTATTTTGCAAGATAATACTAAATGAGAACATAGAGCTGGGCAGTAGTGTCACATACCTTTAATCTTAACACTGGAGAGGCAGTGACAGGCAGATTTCTGATGGCCAGCCTGCTCTACAGAGTGAGTCCAGGACAGCCAGGGGTACACAGAGAAACCCTATCTCAAAAAATAAATGAAAACATAGGCAAAGTGCTGATGAGCACATCAGGGCCTGGCCTAAGAGCAAGCTTAGTAAATGTTGAGTGCTATTCTAGCGATAACGTTTACTCACATCTTGTAAATCCCTGTTTCTGGGGCTGACTTTACCATATTCCAGTTCTGTAAGAGAAAGAGGTAGATAGCCAGGCAGTGGTGGTGCATGCCTTTAATTCAAGTCCAGCCTTTTCTATAGAATGAGTTCCAGGAGAGCCAGGGCTACACATAAAAACTTGTCTCGAAACAAAAAAAACCAAGAGAGAGAGAGAGAATGAAAATAGCCAAAGATAAAAAAATGGATCTAGGCATTTGTGAGTGTTGTCAGTTCTTCCATGTGCTAGGAAACAATAATGAAGAGAGCAGTGATGGGGTGTGGAATTCGTACTGGTCACATTAGCATCAGTGTCTGAAATGTGACCAGTTAGATGAATAGTCTCACTCAGTGAGTAAGAGGGAGATGAAAGGGCACTTTTAGGGGGAGGGGTTCGTTCTAGAAACTTAAGTAAGTATATCAGTCTTTAGCATCAATTGAATCTTTCTAGTATTGTAATCTTCCTGCTCTTCCAACTAAGGAATGGCTGCTTTGAATGGTGGTCTGGGCAGCAGTGGCCTTTCCAATGGTACTGGGAGCACCATGGAAGCCCTTACCCAGGCGTATTCTGGAATTCAGCAATATGCTGCTGCTGCTCTCCCCACTCTGTACAACCAGAATTTATTGACACAGCAGAGTATTGGTGCTGCTGGAAGCCAGAAGGAAGGTGAGTGCACCAGAACTAGAAGGCAAAGCTTTGGGGCAAGAGAATTTAGATAGACTTAACTAACCTTTTCCCAACCAAAGCCATGAGCAGACTGAGAAAGACTATGAAGTGCAATGCTTTTGCTATTGGGAGCGGCGGGGTGTTGTGTCATGGGTTAGAATCCTATGCTTCTCTTAGAATGAAGCTTACTACCAGAGGACTGTCTAAGTATCCCTCTTAAGTATAGCATTTGACATTTTTCTTTTTGATTAAAATGCATGTCCTAAATGAGATAGTGAGATGTAATGGGATAATTGAGGTAGCCAATAGGTATGATGGAGTGAGAAATAAATGGATATAAATGGAATTATATCCTTTGACATAAATGCAATTAAATTTAGGAGAGACTTTCTTGACAGAATTTCTGCTGGCACCTTAGTACTCAGGTTTGACTGGGTTTTATGACCATGAAGTGGTAAGGTTTAAGCGCTGATATAAGCAAACAAGTAGCCTTTGGGCTTTAGTGTGTGAAGCCAGTATTAAGATACCTGGAAGATGGGAGGAAGGAAAGCAAGCATGTGTATAGAAGAAAAAAAAAGTAATAGGGGCACAATCAATGGCAAATACATGGGCCTGGAAACAACAGTGGGCCATGTGCTGTTGACAGTGACTAAGAGACATAAGTGGCTGGAGAAGGGCTGGATTATTTTTTTGTCTAAGTCACACTATAAGTACAGAACATATACTCTGCTATGAATTCAGTGTTAATGATGGGAACATTTTTAAAACGTCTTTTTTTTTTTTTTTTTAACTGATAAATAGTTTAGGTATAGTTAAATTCAAATTTTAACCCATTTTGCTATAAAGCTGAGTTTATGCTAGTGCTAGTTTTTAGAAGGTATCATAGTGGGAGAACATATAAATACCTTCTAAAAATTTATTAGCACCCCATTATTGTCATGTGTTTGTTATTCCCATTCCTTCCTCTGGCACTACCAGTTTATTTTTCACCCATTAGTGTCTAGGCATAGTTTTGAAACCTAATTTTTGTTGTTTACTTGTTTTTGTTTTTGAGGCAGAGTCTGACCATGTAGCCTAAGCAGACCTTGAATTGAAAGCCTCCTGTCTTAGCTTTTTGAAGGGTAGGGTTACAGGCTGAAACTTGTTTTGACTATGCAATCCATTCCACCCCCTTTTTCTTGTTCTCTGTGGTCTCCAGGTTCTGTTTTACTACTGTACATGCAGATCTGCCTTTTTTTCCAATCCCTGTATACCCTCTCTGGCAAGGTGTGGGCCTTTAACATCCTTTCATCAACCAGGCATTGAGTGGCCCTTGCCTTTGATCCTAGCACTTGGGAGGCAGAGACTAGTGGGTCTCTGAGAACTTGAGCCTGGTCCACATAGTGAGTTTCGGGACAGACATAGCTTCATAATAACAACCTGTCTTGGAACCTCCCACCCAAAAAAAAAAAAAGGGGGGGGTGGTGGTGGTGGTTGGGGAAATCCATCCTTCCAGCTGGGCAGTGGTGACATGCATATCTTTAATCTCACACTTGAGAGACAGAGGAAGGCAGATTCTACATAATGAGTCCAGGACAGCCAGAACTACATAGAGAAACCTGGTTTTTGTTTTATTTTGGGTTTGTTTTGTTTTTTGTTGTTTTTTAATCCTTCCATGACACATGGCTACATGCAAGGGAAGATTTAATTTTGCAATTACTGCTAGGTCTCCTGCCTTGTGTTTAGAAAATGTGTTTCGTTCCCCTCAAAGAATAAATTTACTAAGATTTTGCTAGTGTTAGCATAGATGGGAATGAGAGATCATTGGCGCTGGATGATGAGCATACTTACCACTGATACTCTTCCAATCAATGGATATTTGAAGGTCCAGAAGGAGCCAACCTGTTCATCTATCACCTGCCCCAGGAGTTTGGAGACCAGGACCTGCTGCAGATGTTTATGCCCTTTGGGAATGTCGTGTCTGCCAAGGTTTTCATAGACAAGCAGACAAACCTGAGCAAGTGTTTTGGTATGTTGACTTCTCTTCTGTTGTCAGAATAGATTAAGTATTTTGCCACTGAAAAAGAGGGGCTGCTGACAGATTCAGACAACACTGCATTTGAGTTTAACCTCAACAGATCATGTGACATCTTTTGGGCTTTAATTTTTTTTTTCTCTTGTCTGTAGTGGAAGTGGTGTTTTCTGTATCAAAATGGCTTGAAAAGGGGAGAGAGGGTGCTAGCAAATGTCAGGTGGTATCCTTGAAAACCTAATTGGCTTCATGTAGGTGTTATTGCCAGAATTTGTGTTCATGCTGAGGACAAGTGAGATTTAAGACTACACACATAAGGTAACCTCTTATACAAGGAGGACTGAGACTCCTTGTCTTATTAGGTCCCTCACCTAGGTTTCTGCTTGGACATACAGGTTTTGTAAGTTATGACAATCCTGTCTCAGCTCAAGCTGCCATCCAGTCCATGAACGGCTTTCAGATTGGAATGAAGAGGCTTAAAGTGCAGCTCAAACGTTCGAAGAATGATAGCAAGCCGTACTGATTGTGCTCCCCTCTGAGACTGGAGTGAGAAGATCTTCTGGTAAGTGGGGGAGGAGCACCCTTAATCATTCGAAGCCCTAAGACAGCCCTGGACCCTGATCCCTGCCACTCTCGCAGGCACAGCTTGCCCTGAAGACTCAGCTACTGCCTTCTGTGGGAGTGTCGCTTCGTACAGAGGACAAGTTTGTGCTTTGGTTTCCAGTGTTTTACTTTGGAGTTTAGGTGCCATATCCTGAGGGTGTTTTGATTTGTTTTGTTTTGTTTTGTTTCTTTTTCCCTTTATTTAAAGTTTGCTGTGTTTGTAACCAGTATGTTGAGAAGGACCAACACCAGTCCACCCTGAGGAAAGGGGAAATGGGTTTAAAAGATGACCAGAATGTACCCCAAACCACTGAAAGAGAGAGGACTGAGCAGAACAGAAAGCTGATCCCCAAAATCTCTCTCCCTGAGTGCAAGAATGAGAACTGAGATCTAGTGAGCCACAGGGGCAGAGTGGGTGAGGGGCCTTGGCATCTGGGCCCCTTCATAACTAGCTGCTTTGTGCACATATGCTGAGCTTAAGCCACCTATTTTTCTGATTTTTGTCCTGGATTTCTGCCCTTCTTTCCTAAAAGGGGGTCAGCAAGTCTCAGAAAATAAAGCACTTCTGAATTTAGCCTCAAATACGCAGATAACAGGGAGATACCTATTACTAGCCATCCCGGTTCATCATTGTTATTCTGTTGCCCTGCCTGGCTGGTGGCTGTTTGGGGAAAACAGCCAAAGAGGTCATGTTTACTTTACTTCAATGTGAAGTTAGACCCTACCCATTTCCAAAAATTTCTTTTGAAGAAATCTATGGAAGTTCACCACAGCAAGGAATCGTTTTCTCATGAGGGCAGACCTAAGACGCTTTGCAGCAACAAGGGTGCTGTGCATGGGCAGAGCCATCAAAAGCCTTCTGACTGAGGAAGGAGGGACCTGCTGCTTGGTGTGCCAGGATGCTGTATTTGAGTAGAACTGCATCCTGGCCTCCTTGATGAAGGTTTCCTAGAGGCTGTGTTCCCATAAAGATCTGGCAGGCCTTTCCTCTAGCCACTTCTAGCCCATCTTCTGCCCTTGAAGACAGAAGAGTACAGGAAGTTTACAGACTCCATATGAGTTTAGTGTTCATTTACCTCAGTATTAACCCATGTTCATTTTGTCATCACGCTTACAGTTCCCTGCTGCCTTTCACAGGGCTTAACTCCAGCCTTTGCCAGTGTCCCACATAGCCTCTGGGCTCTGCGTCTGCTCTAAGAAATGCTGTTGGGAATATGCCTCTGAGCAGAGGTAGCCCCATAAGCATATGACTAACAGCCACAGCCATGGCCTGGGCTCCTGGGTCCTTGGATGCTTAAACCTCACAAGTTAAGTCTTTACTCCCAGCAGGGGAGATTAGAAGGGGCTAGCTTGCTTTAAGTCAGATAGGGACACTCCTTGTCACGCTGTCCCTGTGGATAACAAACCTGGATTGACCATCTTGCTGTTGTACAGGAGTTGTTAGTGGTGGATTAATCCATTGCAGCTGAGACAGTTGTTCTCTTCTCGTAGTGATAACTTGGGTCTGTTGTCCTCTTAAGAAACACGAAACATATACTTCTTAAGCTGAACCACGCAAACTTGAATTCTGCGCACTGGGAGAAAAGTGTTCTGTGTTTCAAGATAAAACTGTTCTAATGGCTTCCAGGGTAATGATGGGATTTTTTTAAAATAAATGCGAAAAAATAAAAAATAAAAAAAACTTAAAAAGGAAAAAAAAAATGCTAGGTTGGGCAGGCACTGCTCTGAATCCCAACCAGCTGGAACTAAGAATGTCGTTTCTATTTTTATAGAAGTTTTATACAGCTCCGGGGTGGAGAATATTTATTACCTAAATTATATCTCTGGAAAAGGCCAGGATTTTGTAGAATCCAGAATGTGATTGTTGTACACACGGGGTGCTGTGTATGATTGAAACTACTGACTTTCTGTGACCGTTTGCAGCCCAGATAACCTGTCCAAGGGGAAGGCTAACATTAATGCTGTGAATCGGCAGAGGCAAGAGCTGTGCCCATGGGGTGCTGCCAGTGCTGTGCTCCCCAACCTGCTGTTCCGTCTTCCTCCCTGGCCAGAGCACCACGGTCTTCCTCCTCCTCCCAGCTTCCCTCTCTCTCCCATTTCACCGATTGTCCACAGATTGGTCCTGTGCTCCAGGACCTTAAGAAATCTTCTTAATGATATTATAGGCAAAAAGGTGACACACATACACATCCACCTCTGGAACAGACCCCAAACTTCCTACCCACTTGTAATTTCTTAAAAGTGCTTGCCCCAGCAGAGCTATGTTCTGCTCAAGCAGCCAGCCAGCTGCAGAGGCCATGACTTCCTTCCTCCCCCTTCGCCCAGTGCATCAGCACAGCAGTAGCACTGTCCTTGAGCACAGTTCTCTCCCCAGGCCAAAGATGGTTTTGTTGAAGAAGCTGCTCCCCTGTAAGTCTTGCTGTGAAAGGGCTCAGCTTAGAGTGAAGACTGAAGCGAAGTCTTAAGTAGTCTTTTTCTGTTGTGTGGAGCTTTCACTTAGTGTGTTCTCTGCTGCAGTTTTGTTCCTTGGGTTATATGATGCCATTGATTTGCCTTCAGTGCAGCCCAACCACTATCTCCTGGGCTCCACATGAGTGGCCAGGGCCTATGTGGAGGCTTAGGGCTTGGATTTCTGGGAAGAAAGGGCCATCCCAAGATTGAGTAAGAAACTCTGGCCCTGTGCTCTACATAACCTCCCTCCCACTCTAGTCAGCATCTTTTGTTGCTTAGGCCCTGGATGTGTTAGGTGCTTTGCAAGAAATCCAAGCCTTAGGTTCCCTTCTGTCTCTGGCAGTTGGATGTTCTCTTGGTGTCCTTCATGTCCTTTTGAACTTTTCCCTGTGTCCATTGTTAGCATGTGCAAAAGTCCCTGTCACCCCACCCTGCCCTTCCCGCCTCCTCATTTCAGGGCTGCACACAGTGAGTGTCCTCTTCTCTCTCTGTTTGGATGTATTGCTCTGTGTAACTCAGTGGATCTCCCTCTTTCTGGTTTGTTTTTTTTTCTAGATTCCTGCCGTTTGTTCATCGTTGTGCCTAAAGCATGTCGATGTGGCGTCAAGTACATCGTCCAAATCCCTGTCTCTTCAGCTTCTCTGATGCTTGAACTCTCACCTTTGACCTTGTGTTGACCTTTGATGCTGATGTGTATTTTATTATGTTTGTTTCTTTCTTTGTTTTTTCTTTTTTCTTTCTTTTTTTTTTTTTTTCCCTTTTGTGCTGCCAAAATTGGTTTTGCTAGAACGACTGCTGAAGGGAAAATATTTAAACTTGCATTTGAATATAAAAAAAATCTATTTTTCTAGAACTTCATAAGATAACCACTTGATTTTGTGATTCCAATTCTTTGTAACTGTCTCAGAGCAGCCCTACTAGCACATGCCGTGTGGTGTTTGTATTCCTGTGAACACACAGCCAGTCCGCTTCCAGGCTTTGTTCCTCTGTGTGCTTAGTTTTAAAGACAACTTTGAAATGAACAATGAAATAAAAGATGTCACTAAAATCTTTGAGGCTCCTGAACACGTTTTGCTGATACAGTTTTGGGGCTTGAGGAGACCGCATGTGTTGTTATTAATTTTTGTTTCTCTGAGTTCTGAACTGCAGAAGACACCTGAAATACTCCCCACCCCCATTCCCTTTTCACTGGAGGCTGACGTTCAGGCCCCAGCTAGCCTTTTTCTTTTCCTTTTGTGGTTCTTCCTGAAGCAGCCCTGCAGGGACCTTCCCGCAGCTCAAGCAGCGCATATCCATGCTTATTCCTACAGTCTCCACAGCAAAATGTGATGCTTTGAACTTTTTTGGGTTTTGTGTTGTTTTTACCTTTTGTTCTGAATTTTTTTCTTTCCACTAAGATTATGCCCAGAAAAAACAAGTTGTGCATGTTTCCTGCTGTTTCTTCACACCTTCGTATGTATCACCTTCACCTCTCTGTTTTCTATAGTTTGTGCAAAAACTGACTGATTTAAAGGGGTTTCAAAGAAGATGTTTTAAATTGTTATGGGGTTGATATATTTTTTTCAGGATTGTATTGTTTTGTTTTGAAGTGGCAACTTTCTCCTCTATTGCCCTTAGAGTGTTTGCCTGTGCACTTAGACTGTCACTCTTTGTGGCCTCCAGGTCCTAGTGGGGCATCCAGGAGGCTGGCTGCTCTGCTCAGAGAGTGTAGGGGGTCCAGAGAGGCAGAAGCAGAACCAAAGGTGACTGTGGATAGGCAGGAGGCTTAGCACATCAAGGCTAGATCATGGAGGGAGGGAGGGAAGGCACTATGCTTCTAACTACCCCGAGGAGGCCGTCTGCACACTGAGCGGCACTGCACCTGCCTGCGCTTTCCTAGGTGACAAGCACAATAAATACTACAGTCTTCACACTGTTTACAGCCCTGGGCACCACCCACCCACACTGGCTCTTCACCCAACTTAAAAACAAATTCTTGCCCTTACCCCAACTCTGCTCGCTGAGTAAGAGCAGAGCAGAACCCAGTGAAGAGCCAGATAGCTACTGTCCCCGGGTGCCAGGCCAGCCAGTTCTTTGGTTTCCTAAGGGAAACTTACCCTCTTCTCTTGTAGCACCATCCAGCCTCAGGGTCTTGGAAGAATGTGAATAGAGGAGGAGAGACTAGAGGAAAGGAGTAGACAGGGATGGGTCTGTGAAGAGCAGAGGCAGCAGGGAGGGTTTTTGACAGATCCCACTGAGACTTAAGCACTGGTGGGAGGAAAAGTGGAAGCAAGATTGCCCAGAAACGGGTGATGAGGTGCAGCGAGGCACTGGGTGGGGCGGGGTGGACAAGCACTGTCTAGCATCATCCACACCCTGGTGAGGAAGGAACTCCAGCAGAAGTTCTACTCTGGGGCCCCCACAGGTTGCCCAATATATTATGCTTGAGGCCACCTTACTAGGGAGAAAGGGCAGCTAAGTGGGGGCCCTATAAGTAGGCTGCTAAATGTCCTGGAAGGGTGGTGGGATGGAAAGAGCCCTAGCATGAGAGAGCCTGTTGTGTGCCCCACAGTCTACCTGCACAGAGCGCCTCTGTTGGCAGGAGGTGCTGAGGCCCCCTCCCTGTGTACTGAGAAGCTGTGTTTGCCAATATAGTTGCTTTCAATTCCAAGAGGAGCTCTGGGAAAACCTGTGGATAAAACCAAATGCCAAATGTTGGACATTGTTTCCTTTTCCTTTTCTCTCTGATTGTTTTAATTGTTCTGTAGTGGTTTTAATGGATTTGAGACCCTGGAGCGGCAGCTGCCTTTCTGATTTCCAGCTGCTTTTTGTGAATAATTTAAAAAGAAAAAAAAAAGAAACTTTACATTTTGGAGACAAACCTGTGTGAGTTTTTTATTGGTACAAACGTTGTATTTAACACTAGGGGTTTTGTACAGTTTTTTGCCTTTTCTACTAGAAAACAATGTAAAGTGATTTCACAATGTGAAGAGAAAAAATTGCCACTATGACCAAACGCACAGTCTGTTCTGCAGCAACAACGGGATTCAATCAACTCAAAGTCGTGATTCAGCCGTAGAAATGCTTTTCCTTGACCTTGTTTGAGCTTTTCCTTTTTTCCTGTTTGAATTACAAAAGATGTCTTTTTTTTGTGTGTGAACTTGTGTTGTACTCTGTAGAAAATTATGGATTTTGCTTTAATGGTTTAAAAAAAAAAAAAGGGCAAGAAGAGCCCTTGTCGCTTTTCTTACCTAATCACAGTTTGTGTAGTGGATTAAAAAAGAAAAAAAAAAGTTGTTAAAAGTTTGGAGCAAGGGAGTATGTGTTTAAAAGGACTCTCCTTTTTTTGTGTGTTTCTCCTTTTGTCCCAATGGGGAACCTTAATCTGTTTTAATTGCACAGACACACAGACAAAAAGTCATTTTGTATCTGCCAAGTGTGGTACCTTCCTTTGTTTATTTGCTATTAAACTGTTTGAGAAGAACTCCTGTCTTCAGAGTTGTTGATTGCTGAGGCTAGGAGTGGGGGGTGCAGTAGGGAAGTGGGGGGGGGGCTTTCGTGTTGACATTCCTGATGATGATTCAGCTGAACCCCCGGACAAGATGCCTGAAGGAAGTAGTTCTCGCCAGACTACCTGCCTGAGCTGTCTGCATGCTACCAGGTTACCATAATATGGGAACACCTTGAAACAGCTTTAATTGTTCTTCCTCCTCTTTGGTTATTGCTGCCAGTCCACAGAACTGGTTTAGACAAACTCTTTTGAAGATCCTTCATTTTTCATTAGACCTTAACCACACCAGAGGCTGGGTTCAATAAAGTGGAGATGGGGCTGGAGAAATGGGTGGCTCTATGGTTAAGACCACTGACTGTTCTGGAAGACAGGGGTTTGATCATCAGCACCCACCCACAAGGTTGCTTATAACCATCTGTAACTCCAGTAACTTCTGGCCTCCATGGGCATAGGCACACACATGGTACATAGACATACAGGAAAAACACCCATATACATATTTTCTAAATTTTTTTCTAAATTGAATGGATAGTAATTAGAGAAGATTCCTGGATAGTATCCTGCCCTCCATACACATGTAAACACACTATAGAGCTCAGTAGTAGGCCACTTGCCTAGGCCCTATGCCTTGCCTAGGTCACATGCAAAGGCCCTGTGTTTGTTCCTTGGAACCACAAATATTAAAATTGATGTCAAAAGTAGTTTGGTTGTGATGTTTTGTTGGGGGTGGTGGTTTGTTGTTTACTTAGGTTTGTTTTGATAAAGGGTTTCTAGTCCTGGCTTTTCTGAAACTCACTGTATAAACCAGGTTGGCCTTGAACACACAGAAATCTACCTGCCTCTGCCTCCTGAGTGCTGGGATTAAAATCATGAGCCACCATGCCTAGCTTATTTTGAGGTGGAAAACTCATGTAACCCAGGCTTGCCTAAAACTGTGTAGCTGAAGATGACATTGAACCTCTGATCCTCCTTTTCCTGTCTCCCAAGACCTGTGATTACAAGGAAATACCGTCACACTCAGCTCGTGTAGTGTTGGAGACTAGACCCAGGCCTGCAAACATGTCAGGAGAACGCCACCAAATGAGCTGTAGCTGGTTGTTGCTGTTTTGGTTTTTGAGTCAGGATTTGAACATAGCCCTGACTGTCCGGGAACTTACTAAGTCTGAGCTTATGTCTCTGTAATACAGATTGCATCTTAAACAGTTTGTATTCCCTTATGAAATGCTTCTGTAGATGGCTGGTTCACCACCTCAGTGCATTTCTGTTGTCTGTCTGTGGTGACATTCTTGGTCAGCGCACAGCACATGCTGTGCTCACCTAATCAGCCCCAGTCCCTGATTCAAAAAAACCTACCAAGAAGGATTGAAAGACCAGATTGTCCGGTCACCTCTCCGAATGTCACACTGATGGCTGATAGCGTTTCCCTCCAGGAAAGATGTAGAATTTCTTGTACCTTCTGTCACTTTCAAGCCCTGATTCCTCTTCCTTGGGAATCCTCTCCCACCTGGGGTTTAATTCACTCTGTCTTTGATAGGCAGGGCTTTTGTTTTTCTAAATGGAAGTTATCTTAGCTGAAGAACCTGAACTGTCAGCTGGGAAAAGCCATTGTGACCGTCTTGAAGGCACATTTCCTGTACCCCCATACAGTGACTTAATATAGGTGTGGCTGACCTTGTAACCCATCCCTGTTAGACACCCATCTTCTGTCTTCCCAGTGCTGGGTGTAAAGGCTTGTGCTATAATGTCTGGTGAGCTGCTTGATTTCGCCCCTGTAAGACTACCCCATTGGGTTGTAGAGTAATTCAGCTCTTGGACATCCTAACATGGGGATATTTTCATCATTCCATATTCGTTAATAGGGATATTACTAGCCCATGTCTGCTGAGTTTGTGTGTGTGTGTGTGTGTGTGTGTGTGTGTGTGTGTGTGTGTGTGT